GTTTGGGGTGACTGTGGTGAGTGAGGGACATGTGGGCTGGGGTGACTGTGGTGAGTGAGGGACATGTGTGTTTGGGGTGACTGTGGTAAGTGAGGGACATGTGTGTTTGGGATGACTGTGGTGAGTGAGGGACATGTGTGTTTGGGGTGACTGTGGTGAGTGAGGGACATGTGTGCTGAGGGGTGATTGTTTGGAAGTACGGGGCATGTGTGTTTGGGGTGACTGTGGTGAGTTTGGGGCATGTGTGTTTGGGGTGACTGTGGTGAGTGTGGGGCATGTGTGTTTGGGATGACTGTGGTGAGTGAGGGACATGTGTGCTGGAGGTGATTGTTTGGAAGTACGGGGCATGTGTGTTTGGGGTGACTGGTGAGTGTGGGGCATGTGTGTTTGGGGTGACTGTGGTGAGTGTGGGGCATGTGTGTTTGGGATGACTGTGGTGAGTGAGGGACATGTGTGCTGGAGGTGATTGTTTGGAAGTACGGGGCACGTGTGTTTGGGGTGACTTTGGTGAGTGTGGGGCATGTGTGTTTGGGATGACTGTGGTGAGTGAGGGACATGTGTGCTGGAGGTGATTGTTTGGAAGTACGGGGCATGTGTGTTTGGGGTGATTGTGGTGAGTGTGGGGCATGTGTGTTTGGGGTGACTGTGGTGAGTGTGTGACATGTGTGTTTGTGGTGACTGTGGTCAGTGAGGGGAATATTTGTTGGGGTGATTGTTAGGTGTCTCGGCTTTCCGTGTTGGGAGTGGTTATTGGAATGTAGTGTTTACGACTTGCGTGAGTTGGAGGATAAGTGCGTCAGGGGTGCGAGTTGGAAGGGAAGGATGATTTTGGTTTCGATTGGCTACTACCCTAATGAGCAGAAAACCAATTGATGAAGGCATAGCATTGCTCATTAGAGGCCTGTATCCACCGTTTAACATTTTCAAATGAAGCAAACAATTTATCATTTTCTTCTACTGCTCTTGATGTTCTGTTTAACGCACCAAAATTCTGCTGTCGTTATATCCACGCATTAAAGACTTTACTATGATCGGAACTTGCAAATGAGCCTAATATCACTGGATATACGCATCATGAGGTTTTAACGGCAATGGAATGAAATGAAATAAGTCCTTTGTTGGTTGCCTGCATTTAAGGTCATGAAAAAATAAAAGTGCACTTCACAGCAACAAAGTGACATTTAGGTAGCAGTTTAGATCTCTTTGGAGTAATGTTTCTTAAATGTCATAGTCCCGTAATGTGTCTTTTTCCCATGCTGTTGAGAAAGCTTGTGAGTCTAAGCAGATGGTTTGCAGTGTATGTCCCTCTATTGTTAAATTTAATTGAGGCTAATGGCTTATCCGGAAATGTTGATACATATTTTATTTCGTCGTACTCTTACATGTATGAGATACCATATATAGGCATGTACAGAATAGAGCTTTATCAAAAACATCAGCGAGACAAGCAACATATGCATACATTACAGTTTACGTAAACTGACGGACAAAAGAAAGTATACACTTGACCCCAAAATTACAAAAGTTGAAACGGCCGCCGAAACACTGCCAAATTATTTAGCTAAGCCTCGTTTCCTCGTAGTCCAAAAAATGCCGTCAGGCCCATTATTGAAGATCAGAACATCGTTTCTCTGAGGTCGAGGCGTTTCGGTATATGAGACACAGACACTGGGTGAGTGAGTATATACATAAATACAAACACATATAGATAGATAGATAGATAGATGGATGGATGGATGGATGGATGGATGGATGGAAGGATGGAAGGATGGATGGATGGATGGATGGATGGATGGATGGATAAATAGATAGATAGATAGATAGATAGATAGATACATAGACTGGGTGAGTGAGTATTAATCATCGCTGCTCATGGCACTATTCTAGCAATACCACGTAAGGAGACCCCAGACTATACTTCACACATTATACTCATGTGGGGAATCTAACCCGGACCAAGAGCAGGGAGCATTGTATGATCAAGAAAATATCTTCACCATGTGTTATGAACCACTATCGATTAGCAGGTGTTCGGGGAAAGGTTTCACTGTTGTTTCGTGATTTGTATGTAGGTTTGTGCAAACGAAATTTCAAGTGTCTGAAATATGCAATTTCTCCAAACTAACACATACTCTGTAACATTTGAATTTAAGAATTTGAATACACAAATATTCAAGAAATCTTGTGTCAATGTTATGTTATAATCAAGTACAGCTAACCTGTATTTCTTACTTCTACGTGACCGCCTCCGTGGTCCAGTGGTAGATCTAGATCTTCCGGAAGGCGGAAGGTCCGGGCTTCGAACCCCGGCCGCGTCATACCAAAATATGGTACTTGTTTAGATGGTACTCGTTGTTACTCGTTGTCGGCATTAGGACTGGTCGGCTCGGAATCAGTATAATGTGTCTGAGTGGGGTATTTTTATTAAAACCGCGGCATGGTATCTCAGTCGGCTAGCACTATAAATCGGCATTAGTCCGAAATATTACAAGCAACCACACACACACACACACACACACACACACGTGCATGCACGTCGCTATATAAGTGAAATAATCTTGAACGCGACGTTATAACCTCATTTCACTTCATCCCACCAACTTCTACGCCTTCTATTGATTAACAAAGTAGCTTGATCAGCAACTATATTATTCAGTGAACAATGAACACCATAAACCCTGACCTCCTACTGTATGGGAGATCTGGGGTCACCATTTCCCCACTTCTGTTAATGAATGTGTAAACCGTCAATACCATTCACGGCGAACCGTGTTTGGGAAACGTGATGGAGATGTTCATATAACATATCAATGATCATATTGTACATCCCTGCTTACTCAACGTCTAGTCTTTACCGTCAGTTTTAAAATTTATAATGTCTATACCATGTCTGGCAATGCCTCAACGAATCCCTTTACGTAACCATGTCATCATCGGACCAGCGTGATCCAAACTGCTTTATTCGATGTTAAATGGTATTACAAAATGAATGCTGTCAGACCATGTAAGCGTTAATTGCAGAATATTTTCTTCAAAGTACAAGATCTGATTAATCCTGTTCAGACGAGTCAAATGGAGCTAAGTATAGAGGCAGTGTGTTCGCTGGAGTTTATTTCAAAGAAACTAGAAACCCCAGGAAATTGGTTTTGCTGAATATTTCATTGGATCGGATTTACACAGAAATGAGCTGGGAAGTGTGGACACTGGAGCCAATCCCGACTGCGAGGCCCCCTTAAACAATCGACTTGTCTCGATGGTTTGACCAATTTGAACTAAGCGCTATATTTATAATGCAACAACCCATGGAGGCAGCTGTATGTCGCTGACAGCTGTAGGCGTCAACTTACGCCCGGATGAGCGCTGTATTAACACTATAACATGCGCCACACTGCACGCCAATCTCGTTCGTGAGGGTGAAATGGTCAAGAGGTCAGTTATACTTATATCTTTTGAAACACACATTTGCGGTCAGGACAAACGTATTGTAAACGAGTGAGTTTGGTTCGTTGACCGTCCTATTGAACGGGTATTATATTTCTTAAAAACCTACTACAGGGCACATATAATTTTGTTTTCCGGAACTGTTATTTACATTTTCAGCTATGATAAGTTTAATAAAATGAACGTTAGACCCCGTCATACGTTAATACTTTAACGCTTGTTCGACTGAAACGGTGTGCAACAGATAACGTATTGTCAATGGATGGTTCATAATACGTTATTACAACTTAATTTGACCGCCTCCGTGGTATAGTGGGTAGAGATTCCGCCCGGAGAGCGGAAGGTCCGGGGTTCGATCCCCGACCGCGACATACGTAAAAGATGGTACTTGTTGTTACCCTGGCGCTCGGCATTAACACAAAGGGCTTAAACAAAGAGCGGTCGGCTCGGAGTCAGTATACTGAGTCTGAGTGGGGTATCAATGTTGAACTGCGGCATGGTATCTGAGTAGTATTACTATACACCCGGCACGTCGCTATATAAGTAAATTTGTTTTAACCTACATGCTATTTCAGCTCGCCCATCATTTCAGCTTGGAGACTTCACAGGCTCTTCGGGAATGTAAAAACAAACGCCTGTCATATTAGCTGGATTCTATCAGTGCCAGAAATGTAGGAATGAAATGACAAATGACAAAAAGTATGTCTGCGATCTTGTAAAAGATTATGCTGCACGGATATGTATGTTTCACATCAGTCACTTCAAAGGGCATTTCTCCTCTTTTTCACTGACAGTTGTATGACGGGAAACATATTTTTGATCACGGATGCATACAAGTCATATTGTTTTGTGAAGAAGATACAACTGAAACAAATATACATACATATACATACAAATGTACATGGCATACGTTCGAACGTAAAACCGTACAAATGGCCACTTTATTATTTATATGCCTTTGTTTAACATACACCTGTGCGCATCTGTGCCCAGTGAAGACACTTACAACCTCTTAACTCGAAATCACCTGGACCATCGAAAACATCGATCCATTCCTAGCTTGATTAACAGGAACGTCCGCATACCGCGGATTATTCGCGAATAATTTGCAAATTACTCGCGGAATATCCGCGGAGCATTCGCAATTTTACTGCAGGTCACGACAACAAACTTTTGCGTTGTAGTATAACCATTTAATCGTGTGCTTAACCTATGTGGGGAATTGAAACTTGGTTTACAGTGCGACGAGCTAACGCCTTACCGACTCGGCTTTCGCATCGCCCCGACATCATACACTACTTGACATACAAACTAAATCCTTGTGATTCTGGGTTAGAATCACCAGGGTCATACGCGTGTCGTACGAATGGATCGAGTGCCCTTGCTCGATGACTTGGCTGTATGTCATCGTACCCCGACATCGATTGTTGCTCACAATATCAATCACGAATTTTGTCTGCTCCAGACTCGATTGTCCATAGGCTGCCAACTTATTGCTGAAATATTAGAGTGTGGGATCAAACAAAGTATAAAAAAAAGAATCAAAGTATAACACTCACCCGTTGAAGAGAGTCGTATATATCACTCCCGTGCATCCATGGAATCACAGGTCTTTCGTCACATGGTATTCCCCTGGTTTTGTTGTAATTGTACACTGTACGTCTCCTGAACGTAAAATTAAACACATCCGTGTTCCGTCGAATCATATCCCGGAGAGCCTGATACAATGCTTCCACTACATCGACAGACAGTGCTGCATCTACCTGTGGAGATCATTGTCATTTTGACTAAATTTATATTGAATCATTACATGGGCCGGTATTACAAAAAATCAGTAATGAAGATGTGTTACCGGGCTATAAACACTTCAAAGTGAGTGGGTTGAGTGATGTTCAACCACGGCTAAATGTAAGAAGAAAGTCCAAATGGGAGAAGGCGTTTATGTTTGTTTCGATTTTGGTGAAACCCATGAACATGGTCAACACTGACAGACCAAGTACATTGTGTGGGGGCGAATGTGGGATTCGAACCGACGAATATACCAGCCACAACTCTGACCTTTCAGCTACCCTGACCCTCCTTATATAAATAGTCAGCTTTATAGCCATTCCTGGTTTAATTTCTTGGTGAGATGTTTAATTTCAAGACAAACTAGTGATATAAATGATTTATGTTTCAAGAATTGGAAAATAAAGTCAAGGCATATTGAACGGAATTGGGGAATAATTTTCACCGTTTTTCTTCTGTAGTCGTTAATCATATACAAGATGACTTCATGACTCCAGGCAATGCATAAATCAATGTCTTCCCATGATTTGAAATATTTATCATTCAGAGTGATGGGACAATGCATTTCCAGCTATTTACCAATGGCACATAACCTGTTTTCTTCAACAAGAAGAGAAAACACAGGCACGTTCTTAGTTCACGAATAACCTTTCTTGGGCCGGTTTCACAAAGCGATCGCAGCTATACGTCTCCCCTAATACTTTAACATAGACTTACGGCTTACTACGATCGACAAAGGTAATGAATTTCCAGACATATATACACGTACAACTTATCCTACATCATAATTTGTAGCCTTCATATATGTGGTGGGCACCGGGGACACAGTCGATTAAGAAGCCGCAAGTTGTTGTGCAGTGTTACGACCCATGGTACAAGAACGCTGTACATGATCGTGGATTCGAATTACGGTTGACCCTGATTGTTTCTCCGCACAACACCCGTGCTCGTCGGTTTCACCAAAGTGGTAAACGTCTAAAAGTTACTATTGAGTGATTTATGAAGCATCGTTTCATATGAAGAAATGGAAACGCATCAGATGACAACATGGTGTCCACCGTCATCACAGACAATATTTCCTTCACAAGAGCTCATATTGCTGATTTCATCTATTCAATCTCTGTTGATAGATCTGATACGTCCAGCATACAAATCACGTTCTAAAAGGGCATGAGCAATAAGAAGCGTGACTGATCTCCCGTCTGTAACCCGATAAATCATCACGATTGTGCTTATACGTACATGTATGCTTGTCCACATCAACATTCGTCATAAGGTGTTTCTAGGTTTGCCAGCACCACACTCGTGATCGTGTTTTTATATCACACACCTTCATAACTTCAGGTTTTCCTCACCCATTAAGCTGGCATGCCCTTATGTAATTGAGTGAGTGAGTGAGTGAGTTGGGTTTAACGCCGCTTTTAACATTATTCTAGTTATATCACGGCGTGTCAGCTTAATGTGGGAGGAAAGCCCGAAGTGATGCAGGTCTCAGACGTTTACCACTTTGGTGAAACCCACGAGCCCGGGTATTGTGCTGACAAATCTAGAAACATAATCGGTGCGAACCCGGATTCGAACCCACGATCATAGGTTTCTGGCGTGCCCAAGGGACGCAACTCTGCACAGCGAATCGCGGCGCCTTAGACGACAGGGCCACCCGTGCCCCCATGATGGAATTGAAATACTGACCAAAGCAGCGTCAAACTAAACTCACACTCACTCATACTACATAAATTTAATTCACGTTTAAAAACCCAATTTTGTCGGATAAGTACCTAAAGATACACAAATCTCGACATTGGTGTCAATTATTTACTATGGAAGCAAACCGAAGCCGGATTTTGATAAAATAACATATTCGAAATACACATGTAGATTCAGTTTATTTATTTTAACGGAATATGTTTTCATAAGTCTACATACGATAATTTGCAAAAAAACAGTAACTAGACAACCCTTGATGTCTTGGCGTCATAACGTTTTTATAAGGAAACTTAATAAGGATCTGATTCAAAGTCGAAACGTTGTTGCACAGGTAAACAAACCTATAACATGTTATCTATATATATTATTTCCAGTTAATTCGTAACACGTAAATGTTTTGAAAGGTTTCCCATTTGTAAATAGTAAATATATCTGGGTTTTTTACTAATGACTAATGACTTAATTTCGCAACAATATCACCAAAGAAGAAAGCAAGGTTCTTTGGGATTTGAACTCGGACAGAATAACTGTCGAATGCACATCCACTTCTCAACACCAACCGCTCTCAAGGAGCCAGGAAAAAGAATTAGCAAGGAGCAACAGGGCTATTTGTCATTCACTTAATCTTGTGCAAAGTACCTGAACAAAATCCTTCCCTGCCCCCGGCCATACTGTTGAAGACAGGTTTCTCCATCCTCCGAGAAAGCTTTTGACAGTCCTTGAGTTGTGGTTAACTAGCTGGAATCCGGTAATGTTGACACCCCCGTGACGAAATCGTGTGAGATTGAAATTGAGAATATCCTGAAAAATAACGGGGAATGATTTTATAAAGGACAAATGATAGGTTGTCGGTCCTCCGTTGGCAAGATGCAAATCTCTTAAGAGGATTTTCAGGGTTTTCATGTTATTGTAATGTTGATAGCATGTTATCAAAATGTCCCGCACGCCCCAAGACACAAGCCGTAATGAATTACTGGAATCGGTATTACTAATGTCAATATTTTAAGAACAAATGGCATTCTTTTTCCTATGAATATGACTATGTGAACTCTGTGGACGAACCGTTATTATGCTTTCAGAAATGCTTGTCACAGAGTCTCCATCATTTAAGTACACACCAGGCCGGTATCATTGATGAAACAGTGATACAGGGTTATTGTGTGATTCAAGTGGTGAAATTATGAAACTGAGTTGGGGTTTAGCAGCTTTCTACGTTATTTTATATGTACTATCTTAGTTGTGTCTGTAGCACATGAAATAGCTTCTTTAATATATTAATGTGTCGTCGATATAAGAGGAAGATTAATAGGTGAGGTGCATTATATAGCGACGTTCATGCACGTGTGTGTGTGTGTGTGTGTGTGTGTGTGTGTGTGTGTGTGTGTGATTGTACTCGTCCGGACTAAATCCGATTTTATAGTGCTCACCCACTGAGATAACATGAACACCCCACACAGTAAACTGTCTCTTAATGCCGAGCGCCAGGCAGGCTAACAACAAGTAACATTTTTAAACGTATTTTGGTATGGCGCCGCTTGGGATGGAACCAACGACCTTCTTCTCTCCGAACAGACGCTCTATCCACTGTTCCACGGAGGGAGTCAATAATGATAATAATAATAATAATAATAATAATAATAATAATAATAATAATAGGACCTGATGATGTACGCCTCTTCGTCGTTGACCGATGTGGGGAGGATTTATTCCCCTGAACCAAACGTACATCACTCAGTTTGGGCTAACCCCCGAAACTTTCCGCAGCCCAGTAATATAAGTCTCCCTTCGGTATATATCCCAACCAAACTGGAGATGGGAACTGTCCCAGGGGCAGGCACAGGACCTTCCCATGAATATCTTGGACGCCAAAACTGAAGTCCAGACTTACTGAGTGTGCGAAAACAACATGGTGACCACAAACACAACGAGTAAATGGCAAATTGTTGAAGCAGCATTGGAACAACGCCGTGCCAATTTATACATGCCTGACAGATCAAAACATCCGTGACCAGTTCCGGCGACTAAAATTATACATGCGCCGTAATCCTGGTGAGCTAACTGTCAACACTCGTCAGGCGTCTTTGCATGAACCCTCAGTACCAATAGAAGCAGACCCGAAATTGTAAATGAAAGTTTATTCTCCTAAGATTACCAGACTGATCATCCACACACGGGCTCACAAAATGGCCTTGAAGATTTTGAGTTTTCTCCTGATTCCGACCCCATTTCTGTCAATGATTTTTCTGATAATCCGTTGTATATTTTGTTTATGTCATTCTATAATCAAAACCGTGATTTACCGATTGAGAAACGGTAAATTAAACAATTAAACCAATCATGTCCACAGAATCAACTTGAGTCATAAAAGACAACGAACAAGAAAAGGATCATAAACACAAGCATCAAAATAAAAACCGGTTCCAAATAAAACTAACAGGAAATAGAAGTTTGCTTGAAATTGCGTTCCTTTGGGTAATCAATGTCAAAACGGCAACAATCAGATTGAAAACAAAATACAAAAAATACACACAAAAACAAAGAGAAAATTCTAAATCAAATTCTATATTCTTTGAAAGCCATGTGAACGGTTTGGACAGGAAGAAAAAGAAAGTGGGACAAGAAAAAAAATTCATGAAAGAAAATAAACAGTTTTACAGAACAATTAAATGCGACAGTCCTACCATGGACCAATACCGGGCAACTGCAACCTCGTGGAACAATGGGTAGAGGATTACAATGATGTTGTACATGAAAAAGGGTTCATTACATCTGATTGACTACAAAATGTAATTAAAACGTGCAAATCGTATACGACGTCAGGTCCTGATGGTAGTCGACACCGGTATTGGAAACGGTTTCCTTGTATTCAAACACCATTACTTCACTGTTTAAATTCAGGGGATGTTCCGCCATGGTTATGCAAATGTCAAACAATATTTCTCCCAATGAAAGGTGTTTTGACCAAAACTTCCCCCCTATTACTTGTCTGAAAACACAATATAAAATATTTACAGGGTGATGTACAGATTTTGTGTCATCACACTGCCATTTCAATGGCTTTACGTTACATGGATCAGGAAGAAGCTAGACAGGGATGTCGGGGTCGTAAGGATCAATTCCTGGTTGAGAAAAGAATCCCCGAAGAGGCCAAAACGTACCACCGTAACATCTCACTGTGATGGAAAGAGTACAGGAAAGCTTATGATTCTGTACTTCAGAAATGGATTTTGAGGTCAATGAAATGTATTGACTTCCCCGAGCGACTACTTGTTTTACTCAACTCGACAAGTCTTTAATGAATTGCTGGTCAATTCAACTTGAGATGTATTCGCAAGGGCAGGTGGTAACTTCGGAAACCATTTCTATTATAAGAGGAATATTTCAGAGAGATTTCTGCAGTCCTTTGCATTTCTATTTGTCACTAAATCGTTTAACCTCATGAAAAGTCAGGCCTACACGTACTTGGGGATGCAGGTTTCACACAAACACCAGAATGCCCATATCAAACTTCAATCAGAATACAAATGGAGTTCAGAGCTAAACGCTCTCAATAAAGTCAAAGCCACAAATAGTTATGCTGTTCCCGTCCTTTCGTTATTCGTTAGTGTTTGATTGGACAGACCCGTGAAGATCCGGGGTAGAATTGGTCTTCAGCAACCCATGCTTGTCGCAAAAGGCGACTATGCTTGTCGAATAAACGGGATCGGGTGGTCACGCTCACTGACTTGGTTGATGCATGTCATCGATCCCAATTGCTTGGATCGATGCTCATGAAATCAATTGCTATCACTGGATTGTCTGGTCTTGAATTTTGCTGAGTGCAGCGTTCAACAACAAACCAATGTTGATTGGACGAAACAAGAAAGTCAGGGCATTGACACCCTCACACAGGTCCCACCAACCTCGCTCTTCCGTCAATCGCTTATATTTTCCACTTATAATGGGAGGGCGTGGTTTGATTTATGTGGAGGCTCTTCATTATAGGACTGTTTTGTGCACTTTTGCACACATGATGAAAACAAGGCATTAAACAGTTTTCTTAAACGAGCCAAGGGTGTGGGACATAGTCCAATGTCAATGCTGATTTTGTTGATGGTTCTGTACTGCTGGACGGTAAAGATATGACTAACAAACAAACGAAGTGCCATATCAAATGGGCACAGACTCAATTGTTCAAGGAGAGGCAATCTGAACGACAACTGCATCGCGTTTTGCTTGGATGAAGTCAGCTTGCCTGAAAACAGAAGGCTTCGTGTTTGCTGCTCAGGATCAGTCACTTCCTTATCGAAACCGCCAATGTGTGATTTTGCATCAAAATGTAAATATGAAATGTAGATTATGCAAGGAATTTAATGACGTTGTCCAACAACATATCACGCTTGCATCCCAAGCTCCAAGTTGTTCGATTCCCCATTGTTCTCGGTGCCTTAGGTTTGGTACCTCCCAAATCTGTTGACTGACAATGGGAGAGTACCCGGGTTTGCTGCCAGGAATACAGCCCTTCTGACAATCTGGGTAATGCAGTGTTGAGGAGTCTTCACATTCTCCGAAAAGTTCTCGGAGGGTTCGACTCGGCAGCACTTCTAGGTAGTCCCATCCGATGTCTGGGCGGCGTGCAGAGGGGAAAAGGGCTCTGATCTGATGAGCCTAATCAGCCTGACTGTGCCAGGATCCCCCAAACCCTCTTTGCTGCATGTTTTATTATAATCTGTAAATAATAATAATTTGCCGATGTTGTTGTTGTTCATGATGATGATGATGAAGTTCAGTTATCTCAATACTAGCCTGCTTATAATGCAATGGTTATCATTGCCTGAAAACTACAATTATAATTGTGGACACACTATATACGTCAAGTTGCATATTTCAAAGTAAAAGAGGATGAATAGGTATCTGTCCTTGTCGATAATACTCGTATGACGACATACCGGAAATGCATTCCTCGAAACATTAATGAATCGATTACTTTGTTATCATCGACTGTAAAATATGCAGGCCAGTCCACACATGCATCTTAAGAGGAAATCACGTGAAGGTTTTCTGCGATTTTTTCAGACAATAAGCCGATCTCAAACTGTGAGAAAACATGAACATACCATTGTCAAATTAAGTAAGAAAGAACACTGCATGGCACGTCCATGTAAGTCATATCTTTCAAGACAGAAGGATGGCAGCAGTCCCGATGATTCAGAACCTCTTATCTGATAGATCATTTTTATTTCTTTTATTTCTATTAAATATTTATGTGTAATTGAGTTTTGTATTGAAATGTTTTACGAAGTTTGTAAAGGTCATTATAAGTAGGGAAAAAACATTTGCCTTTTTTTTGTCATGTCCATGTGGAATACAACACATGATGTACAATGTTTTTGCGTATTTGTTCCACGAGACAATCCATGCTTTTGTGATTTCCCAGTTGGTTTCGAAAATTTTCCAAGAAGGAATCCGATCTTTTTTCTGACTTATCAACCGGTTTTTGCATACAATATTGGAGAGAAAAAGTCGTGTTTGCAGGGTATGGCAAGACATCAGATTAACAACTTCTGAAGGAAACCTTAAGACCATGTTTTTTTAATACGTTTGGAAATATAATTATGCTACGAATGTATGTAAGTTAACTGTTCGAGTTTCTTTAATAGCTTAGACCTTCCATTACATTTCTGTAATTATAACTATCAAGTTGCTGACCAACAAAATCTGTGTATTGCTGTAAATGTTGCAATCATTCATATCAAATTGTTTTCATATAGGAATCACGAGTGGCCAAATCTTCTAAATTCCACAATAAGTTGTACAGTGTTGCGTCCCTCGGGTATACCAGGATTAATGAGCGTTAGTTTAAATTCTAAAATTCAAACATGAATGTGATACTTGGTTTGTCGGAAACCATAACCCTTGGGATTCAGTAAAGTGTTAAACGTCTCAAAATTCAGTGACTCACTCTTTGACAAATATTCATTCCTCACTCAATACAGAAAGGACGATGGAAAAGTTTTATTTGGCGACAGATCGAAAAGGTCACGCTAGCTCCAGAAACTATTGATGTCACTTTGGTGAGACGTTACATGAAAATGTTTCTGTAAAGAAATACCTGCAACCTTTAACAGTATCTGGTGAAATAAAAATGTGATAAATACGACGTTCAGCTGCAATACATCCATAAGATCAGATCAGTCTTGACACTGCTTCTGCAGCAATGTTATGTCGGATTGGAAACTCTAACACAACCTCATCCTACACGTTCGCGAGAACCCGAGGTTGTAAACTTTATTAATCTATTTTTTGTCGCATTCGGATGAATATATTCACCAAAGACCACAACTAATGTCTGCGAAATTGCTGACGTAGTGTTAAACACTCTTTAAAATGAAAGATAGATGATAGCCAATTAGTTAGTTTAGAGGTTGTACCTTAAACACCAGTTCCTCGCGTGTTCAACTAATCGATCTTCTTCTGTCACTTTTTAACAAATCATTTTCTGTTTAGTATCTGATGGTGATCAATCACCGGTCTTATTTCTTCCTTGCACGGCGGAGTTTAATGGCAGTGCGAATAAAGTCCTCTCGTTGTCTTGGATTAAAACACCATGGTGTTTGTGAGTCTTCCTAGGCCTAAAAACCGTTGTTCAAATTAGCGTGTCCTTTAAATAGTGTAGTATTACTTTACTGCATAGAAGGGATCATGTTCTAATTTTCTTATTTGGTCTTGTCTGTGAATTTCCATTCAGCAGTATTACCGGTATCGGTAGGTTAGTTGCGAAAAGAAGCCATCGAACACTCACTTCATCGAACGGCTTCGATGTAGATAACAGAGTGAAAAAACACACAGCGTGCATGTACAATGCTTGCTGGAGTATATTGAGATATTTTCAATCGAACTGCTGACGTGTGTAGAAAGGGAAACTCCAAATGTACGTATTTAGGCCACGTGTTACACTGTGTCTTCAAGTCGTTATCAATGATTCGATGACTATCTTTAAAAAGGTCCTGGCTCGTTCCAAACACCGATACATCGTGTGAAGCCCATTTCCGCTGTCCCCGGCCAGCACATGCTGAATATGGACAAACGTTGCGTTGAACCAATGCACACGATCGAGTCTGGAGAATACATTGACTGACGCCCTCAGGATACGACGAGGTTCCATCTGCCAGCCACACTTTGTGACCAACAGTTTTCAAAATGGCAATGCTAGAGTGAGTGACTGAGTTAAAGTTTAACGTCACATCTTGTCAATGCTAGCGAACAACCTGCTTGAATACCTACCGAAACAGATAACATAAGGCTTTAGGTGCAAAATAGTGATGGCAATTGCATGACATTGGTCACTGAAAATCAGTAATGATACCAGGCGTCCCTAACACGTCCCCCTGTACCAGTAGCACATGTCACGCTGTCACGCACGACATGCAACGACGGAATTGTACATACTCTTTAAATAGCAGTTGTAGACTTTATATTTAATGGTATCCAGGTCACGGCTTGATATCTATGTTTTACTAAAGGTCTGTTGATGTTATTATAATTATACCATTTTGGATCACCCCACGAAAACATACATGTGCGAATAAATATAGAACAACACACATTCTGTTCGGTTTATCTACCGCTGTAAAACAGTTCTTCGCGCAGTCGTCATGCCATTTTCTTCATAGTCTTACCAGTACCACCGTTACTGTATTTATGAATATACATATGACGGTGCGTATGTCTATGACAGACTATGTCTTGTATGACGTTGACCATGGCTATGAATGTGACTATGACCACTATTGTGACTGTGATATTACTAACATAAATGGGATATGACTGGATTTGACGATGGCCGTACCTATGACTATGAATGTGACTGACACTTTGACTTTGGATGTGACAATGGCTGTAACTTTGACTTTGGATGTGACAGTGGCTGTCTTTGACTTTGGATGTGACAAAGGCTGTAACTGTGACTTTGGATGTGACAATGGCTATAACTGTGACTTTGGATGTGACAATGGCTGTAACTGTGACTTTGGATGTGACAATGGCTATTACTTTGACTACGAATATGACTATGGCTGCAACTTTGACTATGACTGTGACTGATAGGGACTGTGATATGACAATGACAATAACTCAAGACTATTTCTTCTTTGGAATAGCGACACAATTATGTGTTGAAACATGAACGTTCAAAAACATCGTTTGCCTTCAAGCAGATGATTGGAAGGAGATTGCATGGCCATCCTCAATTATGGAGGAGAGTAATTGGAATAATGACAGACCTCAAATGCAGCAGGTTGCATGGAGAGCTCCAGGTCAAAATGTTCTTTATACTCTTGTACTTTATCACGAGGTAAAACACCCTCATTCCTCATGTTATGTCACGCAGCTCGCAATGAATTGTTTAACAAGCCGCTTACATTTAACCAACTCAAAGAGGAGCTGACCCGTGAAGATCCGGGGTAGAATAGGTCTTCAGCAGCCCATGGAAAGGCGTAAAAGGCGTCTATGCTTGTCGTAAAAGGCGACTAATGGGATCGGGTGGCCAGGCTCGCTGACTTGGTTGATGAATGTCATCGATCCCAATTGCGTTGATCGATTCTCATGATGTCAATCACTGGATTGTCTGGTCCAGACTCGATTATTTACAGACCGCCGTCATATAGCTTGAATATTGCTGAGTGCGGCGTTAAACAACAAACAAACATGTATATCATTATTAATTCCGATCTTCGATGCACTTTTTGTAAATATCTACGTACAAGAATTTCCTTTTGATCTAAGGCCCAGATACAACGGACACCTGATGAAGGGTTGGAGTAAAAACACCGGATGTTATTGCAGATACAGCAAGGGCTGAATCCTATTACATACGAAGCAGATGGAGGAATTGAAAGAGTTGTCAAATAACTGCTGTGGAATTGTTACAGAACATGTCTTTAATCGATTAAGGTGTCTGTATTTCAATATGAGCATTTAATTTGAAAAGAAAAGCAAATGTGTTTCGTCAGAAAATACAAACAGAATACGACTTGCAATTGTTTTAATGATTTTCGTCATGGAAAAACTTAGAGTTTCTTCTTTCATTTACGTGCGTAAACATATGAGTTTTATAGCAATTCATTGGTTTCGTTTTTTCGCAAATGGACTGTAGGCAAACAATGCGAAGCATTTAACGTCGTTGTGAATGTGTGGTTTTTTTATCAGTGCTTGTCAGCTTAAGCGAAGAGGGTAGGCCCAGCCTAACGCGACCACAACCGAGGAGACTCTGTGATTCGGTGTCACGACCCGCGTATCCTGATATAAACAAGGACGTAGTTTTGCATGGTGATTTGCGGCGTCAAAAACATCTGGGTCGCCTTGTCCCTCAAAGCGTGGAAACTAGAACAGTGCTTGTGATGTGTGTAAATTGAGTGCAGTTTGTGAAGTGCGTGAAGGGCGATAGAACAGGCCATGCTGTGGGTGTGAACGTAGTGAACGGGGGTGAGTATAAAAATTGTCAACTTATTTATTAGTATTTTTATCTTATACATTTATTCTTACTCCATACTTGGGTTGTGTTATTCCACTCACCTCCTTGACATCAAACATCCTTTGGCCTATATGAGTAGATGAGTGAGTGAGTTGGGTTAAACGCCGCTTTTAACAGTATTACAGTTACATCACGGCGTGTCAGCTTAATGTGGGAGGTAAGCCCGAAGTGATGCAGGTTTCAGACGTCTACCACTTCGGTGAAACCCGCGAGCACGGGTACGGTGCTGACAAACCTAGAAACATAACCAGGGGAACCGGGATTCGAACCCACATTCATAGCATAGATTTCTGGGGTGCCCAGGTGACGCAATTCTGCACAGCGAATCGCGGCGCCTTAGACGACTGCCCCCCCCCCCCCCTATGAGTAGAAAGGAGTGTAAGGATGCCAGATAAGAATTGGTCAACAGCAAACCAATGCTTGTCGTATTTGGATGGTCAGTCTCGATGACTTGGTTGATTGAGTACCATCGTGCCCCGACGGAGTGAAACTTTGCTCATCACATCAATCATCAATCCGTCTTATTGATGGCATATATTACTGAGTGCGGCACTAGACAACAGACTCAAACTGACTGCAGTTTCACAAATGACTATTTCCATTGATATGGTATATAAAAACAACCATAAACATCTCTGGAATATATCAATTGCATCTTACCAGACTTTGCTTTAAAGGGTTATAGCGGTTCTTTTTCACATCCATAATCTACCAGAGTAAAAGGATCTTATATCAATTTATAAGTCTATGTTTTTAAGCTAACTTAGACAGGTTTTTCATCCATCTGAAATATGCTCGAAGACTTTCGGCGTCAGTTCCGAAATCCTTATTACTGTATGACACTTTTTTAATATTTCATAGAAGATGCATTATCTCCTTTTGCCAAAGGGAGGCAGGTTTGCTATAATGGGCTTACAGTCAGGGCTGGTCTTTTATCTTGGGAATGGTTCTAAAATATAGGAGATCCTGACGCCTTAATCTATAAGGTTGTTGATGGAATTTCAGTGCGCCAAATAAGTCATACTCACCAGCGTGCCAAGGAGATAATTGTAGCCATTTCTATTCATCCCCACTTCAGGAATCTGCAACAAAAGAGCGTTCAGTGGTTGCTTCTGTATACTCACAGCGTAGACCTGATCAATCAAAACCTTATCGGTCACTTTTGAACGTAGTATAAACACCAAGGAACCTGTAAATCTGTCAGAACCACAGTGAAGAAGAGTATGTAAACAGGAGCACCGTGTGAAAAAAATCAGACCGATGCAAGATTTATAACACTAATGGATTGAGTAAACTGATCCATGAAAAGCCATCTTTGCTCTTTCACTTAAAAGAAGGTGAACTTATGTAAGTGGCGTTAAATTTTCATAATAGTTTGGCGTACATGAAAATCAATAGAATGGTGTTTGAAGGTTAGAGTGTATTGAAAGAATCGACATTTAATACTCGAACGGGCAGACTGTTCCCCAACATCCAGCTATAATTGAATAAAGCCGGACTTGCTTATCTTGTCATTTTGGCAATGGTACTTGATTAACCTTGACCTTCACTTCTAACTATTTCGGGAAGACACATGACAGCTTCCGGATAACGTCATTTATCATAACAAAATGTTAAATAGACACAATCATTAATTTTTAATCACATTTTCTTTCAAAGTACTATATTTCACAATCTTCAAGTTGAGATATACGGTTTATGTTTGCGATAACGTAGTGTAAGGGTTACGTTAAAAATTCATCTTCCAGAAAATAACTTTAGAAACCAGGTATGAATAACTTGCCCGAGGTCAATGGCCTGGATATTATATAGTGCCAATAGATTTACAGCTATGTGTTTACATAAGCACTCACACACAGGATAGCCTGTATTAAGTGTTGGACAACAGCTTGCAGTGCAAATAGGAGATGCATTGAAGTATGGAACTGATTAAAAGTAGTTCCTGCAAGACGACATAATTTGCATATTTATCGGATCGTAATACCATGTTTATCGGATTGGTTTGATTATATAAATTACCATGAATTTATATTAAAAGGGTATCAGCATCGTGCATCATTTGTTATTCAACATATTCACAGAAATAGTAATGGTATTTAAAATGTTTTGTTGCACCCTTTGTATGAAACAAACAGAGGAAGATAACAGGTAATATCTTCAATGACATGTAAGTCCAAAGGCAACTCAAGTAGATTTTCCTATTTAGTTCACTGTCATAGTTTCACATCACTGCTTTCAAAACCCTGGCTTCTTTCTGGGTATAAAAAAGGTAACATTACAACTGAAAGGGGTTAAATACGGTTACATTTTAAAGGGATTTTTTTGCTTATGGAAAAGGCGAAATAGTTGCAGGATAAAAATAAGTAACTGACGAAAACTGTCGAAACAAACATCGATTTCGGAAACTATTACAGCAATGTTCTTTCGAAGAATTATACAATTCGGGTATTGATTACATGGATAAATTTCCAATACAGTTCACCAGCGCTGCGTTCCTGAAACTTTAAAATCAAAACCTTCGGGTCTTGTAATAGTCACCACTTGAAACGGTTTTTATCAAATAACTAACGATATCGTTCAAATGGATTGAGATGAATTCGCATCTATTTACAAAATCAGACTTAAATGGCATGATAAAACTCAGTGCCACTGATTCTTCATATTATTCAATTTCAATCGGTCATTTAATTTACATAACTTTAACGTTTCCTTGCACAACATTGAATAATGAGCAATGGCATGTAAAACTTGTAAATAGCAATATTACATGCTTCGTTTCCCACATCTCATGTTGGCGGTTACAGAGGCACAGTCGAGCCTCTCGGGTCACATGAAGTCAGAGCTTCACAACATTCCGGAGTTATATCACGTATATAGGGTAAAAACGGGTTTCCGTGGAAATGTTTTAATACACTTTATGTTCCATGGACGGTCAAACGCAAGCCTTACGCATGGAAATGTGCAAAAATATTTGTCCTACAATCCACCTTCCTCAACACGGCTCCATTACCCTTAGCAAGTGCTGGATTATCGCCCCCTTGGCTTTGGCAATGCCAGCATTATCTGGGAAAGCGAGCACCGGGGAAACGTTATGACCCTTCAGGGTACTATGCCATTTTATGTTTTCTCCCATTCGTGATTTACTAAAAGGCTAATTGCCGTTTTCTCTTGCATGGGAATATAAAGAATTGGATTCTAGCATCTTGCGGCACATTCCCCTAAAAGTGAAAATTTTAGAATGTGTGTTGTTTCGCTTAGTACTTAATGATTGTTTCTATTCTGTGTTGTTTTCCATAAACATGCAGGTGTGAACATCTTTTTTGTCATTCAGCAGTGGCTTAAGTTGTTGTCACGATGCTTTCCTCTTATACTCAGGAAAAAGAGGCCAGCGTATGTGCATCCAGGCACCTGCATGACTTTATTTATATTCTCTGACTGGGGTCTTGTCTATGAGCTGCTCGTACTGCCATTGTGGCAAGTTAATACACATCACGTCTAAGGTGTTTATATTTAGCGTTACATGGTATAATTGGGCATCAAGATCAAAGAAAAATCGGGGTTTAACTTCACAAGCTTTTTACGCGTCATTCAAGTTTGTTTATTTATTTGTTTGTTTGTTTGTTTAACATCACATCATATTGTTTATTTCATTTTTTACATAATAACAAGATATTACTATTAAGAATTCATTTACACAAAATGTACCTAATTGATGAATGATTTTGACAATAAGGCATTGCGAAAAGTTGAAAATTATATATGTATATTCTAGAAAGAAAGATTGAGAAAGATTTGGGCAAATGTGTAATATTTCTTTTGAAAATGAATAATTGTTTATAAATTAAATAATCAATTACACTAATAGAAAAGGTTACTCAGGCTATGTTACAAACAATCATGTAATTGAAACGCATATTTATGAAAATCACAGCACAATGGCACAATATAGTAGTCTGAGATCTTGGACGTGAATGTAAAATGTATGTTAATTATCTGCACATTGTGACACTAAGGAATGATAGAAATCTCAACACCCAGTCAAGTATTTAAGTATGTGTAATCAATTTTACAGGGAACAATAATTTTAACATTGAGTGAGCACAATTATGACTTGAACGGCACAGTAAAATTATATCGTGACAGTTCACGGAGATGCCCCACATGACAAAATCCCTTGAAACAATACGTTTAAAGCCTATTAGTTAAGCCTGGAGAGTAAGGCGTCGACGTCCTGCGAACGCCCCAAAGACACGTGGTCCCCCCGTCGGCCGGTGACAGAGAAGCATATATAGTTGACAACGTAAAACTGCGTGGCAAGGCTATATCTGATGTCTTGTGTGGAATACAGTATTCTGGTAAAATCAATTGAATTTCAGATTTATGTTTTTTTTATAACTATGAGAGGAATACTTAAATGAATTAAATGAATTGCCACAGCAAACGAATATGTCAGGACTTGACATTAACGGTTGATTTTAGTTCCCTAAAGAAAAACAGGTTTTGTGATGTTTCCTCACATTTTTATTACTTTATTAAATTAAATGTGTATGGTATGGACTTGCTTCTCGAGTGTACAATTTAAGGTTAATACGCTACGGCATTAACTACATGTTACATACTGCGTGAAAACATTTGTCAAATGTGTTTCATAAAAAATACATTTTCAACACACTCGGTCTTTTTGTCTCCCAAACTATAACAGTTGAAGCAACGTATTCATGTAGTCTTATTATTGTTAAAGCCAGTTTGGTTTAACGCCGCTTTGAACAGTATCTCAGTGATATCACGGCGCGTCAGCCTGACGTGGGAGTAATGCAGATCTTAGATTGTAATCACCTCAGTAAACGGTACTGTGCTGACAAACCTTGAAACATAGTCAGGGCGACTATACTATTTCTGTGAACACGTGAATAACAAATGATGCACGATGCTGAGACCCTTTTTTATATAAATTCATAGTAATTTATATAATCGAACTAATCCGATAAACATGGTATTACGATCCGATAAATATGCCAATTATGTCACCTTGCAGGAACTACTTTTAATCAGTTACATTCTTCAATGAATGAGTGACTGCATGTTTTTTTATGCAGCGGTCGGCGATAATCGACCGATGTCACGGCAATCTCTCAATAATCGAGTCTGGAGGATGACGACCAGTGGTCAATAGTATGAGCAACAATCCCCGCTATGGTTCGGCACACAACCAACCAACTCCACATTGTGAACCCAGATTACAAATATTAGACAGAATGGGTGGTAAAACTAATGTGATTGTACGCCGCACTTAGCAATATTTCAGCAACATCACGACGGGGTACACGCAAAATAGACTACATGTATTGTACCCTTGAGAGAAATCAAATCCGGCCTTACGCCTGTGGAGACAACGTCTAAATTACTAGTTTACCTACCCCACCCGATAGAGATAGAAAGTTACATAAAACAATTGTAAAAATCAACCCAATACATGTATGGTTATGACACTCTATACTGCAACTAACCTGCCTCAGCATTTCATTATAGGCGTGATAGGATGACAAATCCAAAATGATATTTTTGCGGTTTTCATGTTGGTTTCTGTCAAGTCTGCGCAGGTCTTCATGCGCATCCGTTACGTCATCAACTCGCCGGAAGCGCATGTCAACCCGAGGCACAACGTCCTTCAACTTGGCATGTAAATTCTGCACTCGCATCAGACCTTTAAATAGAAAATTAAAACTGAAAAAAGGTGCTGCTACCATCAATCCTCGTCTGAAATGAATCGAGAAGAGCAATATCGAGATTAGTGTACGTCATCAATTCATTATTGTAGGAGCTGTTTGTGAATAATTGCTCACCAATCATGTATAAATGAATGAAATGCAGTCATCCCTGCAAACATGAGTTCTTAAACTTGGTAATGCGCTAGGGTTGTTGAAGCAAAGTCAAGATTCCTTCTTATCAAATCAAATGTTTCAGAGAACTTAGAGTGGTTGCATGCAGATATTACCCTTACTTACACACAAAAAATCGATCACGTAGCCCCTAAAATATGGTTACGGGTTTACTCGTGGAACATAATCAATTTTTTTATTGGCCTAAGAAATATATGATTTTTTCTGGTCTTGCTGGCTGTATTGATTCCACATCATATTGTTATTAACTATCGCCAGGAAAACATAAAATTAAGAATCGTTAAAATCTGGTGTATATTTTGGGCAAATGCGTTATGTTATATAGTTATACACCAACATAATAATTCCCACGGACGCATTCCTATGGCAACGGTATTTTTTGTCTAGGGGCCCATGAGCTATGGATGCATCTGGCTCGTTGCAACGTAGTTTGTGCTATCTGTATGCACATCACTGAAGAATGTATATTTCCCTAAACACATAAAGTTGACACTCCAAGGATGTGTATGAACCGAATCCTAGACATTGGTTGGGGTAGCAGTGATCATCCAAACATCTCAATGGAACTTGCCTGGGTATACATCACTTTGGTTTTACGCAGCTTTTAGCAATATCACAGCGGGGGACACCAGAAATGGGCTTCACACATTGTACCCATGTCGGGAATCGAACCCAGGACTTCGGCGTGACGAGCGAATGCTTTAACCACTAGGCTACCCGACCGCCCCCAATAATCAGTATCATGAGGAGTGGTCCACGTTGTCTGGATTCGACTCTACGTCCGCAATGGACAAGACATATTCTATCATACTCACACATCAATACAGAAATCATGATTCTGTAAAACAAGACCAACATGGTTGTTACAAATTCCCTATCTTTGAGTGACATTGAGAAGTTAAAGTATCACTGAACACAGAATTACCCTTTTGGCACTTGTATAGTTGGAATCCATGAAGTATAAATCCGTGCAATTTCAAAGTTTACTGATATAGTCAGTTAGGGGGTCGACCAAGTTTAGGTGTGGATGTGGGTTTTTGGCGTTCGTGGGGACGTTTCTTCCATTGGTTCTAAGTGTATTACTTTGTTGTGGTCGGAATTGCTGTGAGTTGGAATGTAGCCCTCCTTTGGTAACTTTCCTGGGGTCAATCACGTCTCACGGGGTCACATGATTCTATCTGATACCATACAGAAGCCAGGATCGCATCATCACCAATAGCACATTAATCCTCTTGGTAACATACATATACAACCTACATGTATATAGCGGATAGAGCGACTGTATGGAGAGCGAAAGGTATGTGGCTCGGCCCTCGGCTGCGTCATACCAAAAGAAGTCGTTACCCTAATATAACTCGCACTCGGCATAAATCGGATATAGCAAGGACCGGTCGGCTCGGAGTCCGTGTACTGTGTCTGAGTAGGGTATGTTTGTCTAACTGCAGTATGGTATCTCAGTGGGTTGGCACTTTAATACGGGCATTACGACTAGTACAAGCAGCCACGCATGAACATGCATGCAAGTGGATGTTAAACCCACTTACAAGCCACAGATTTAAGTTCAAGTGCACGGAGACACGGTGTGTTGGTTATTCTTAATGTGTTTGACACCCAAATAGTTTAACAGCAACCACATGCTTTTAATACTGATGAATGTCTTCATTTGTAAAGCATCAAACATGATGAAAGCGAGTTGACGCCCTGACTGAGTCGCAGCATAATCCCTATATGCCGTTCCACGTTTCTATTCGCCACGTAAAAGTGACGGATTTGCATCCCCACGTCGTCATTGGGATTTTTTCGGAATATTTTTTTGGAAAATAATTGAATAAAATTTGATCCTTGGGAGTTTCATTATCCCGTATTTAACAGAGAGTGATGTCACAAAATGAATTACGCGCTTCAATACTGAAGTGTTTTCTGTCCTTAGTCGTTCTTCCGGGCCAGTTTGAAATGCACAGTCATGGCAAATGCATCTGAAAGGATTTAATCAGATAGCCTTTAATAAGGCATTTTACGTCGATAAGCCCCCTGTTGTAGTCGAGGATTAGAAAAGCTTCTCAATGCAATGAATTTCCCCAGTGTGGAAAGTCAACGTTCTATGGGAAATAGTGATGAACAGGTTCGTTTCACATTCAAGGCAACAGTTTCATCGATTTGGCTCAGCGGTGAGCTCTTGACTGTTGGGTTTGGCATCATATATCTCCATGTGTCTATAATATTGAAAAACCTATACTCAAATCCAGACATGTTACTAATGGTGGTTTTAAGCATTTGTGATAGGAATCTACAGAACACCGGTGCTTATATAATGACCCTGTCACACTACAACGTTTTAGAGTAACTTGCACCTAGCGTGTAAAAGACAGTACGCTGTCATACGCCGAGCTCTCATAGAAAAACATGATTTTAGCGTATCCATAACGTAAACATAACGGGTTCACCGTATATGTATCGCATGTTTTGAACGCATTAGGAGCGTATCCCCGACTTATACATAACTTATGACGTAAACATAACGGGTTCACCGTATATGTATCGCATGTTTTGAACGCATTAGGAGCGTATCACTGACTTATACATAACTTATGACGTAAACATAACGAGTTCACCGTATATGTAACGCATGTTTTGAACGTATTAGGAGCGTATCACTGACTTATACATAACTTATGACGTAAACATAACGAGTTCACCGTATATGTAACGCATGTTTTGAACGCATTAGGAGCGTATCACTGACTTATACATAACTTATGACGTAAACATAACGAGTTCACCGTATATGTAACGCATGTTTTGAACGCATTAGGAGCGTATCACTGACTTATACATAACTTATGACAGCGTAAAAAAGCGTTTTGCCAGCGTATGTCTGGCGCGTTCAACGTATGGCCAGCGTGTACCCAGCGTATGAGTAATGTATGACTAGCGCGCTCAGCGTTGGGGAAAAGTGCCCAAAACGGGCCCCTCGGTAGTATAACTAGTAGTGTAGACCCATTCATCAAATTACTTCATTCAAGCAGTAGTCTTCGCTCTGTCAACATCATCAAGATGTCTCCCAAGAAGAAACCTGCCTGGGGCCCAGCAAGATCTGGTAAAATGTCAGTTGGAGGATGTCATGCTGATGTTGAAGAATGACTATTTCTTCTTGGTGCAGGCTCTCAGGATCCTTCACCTCCATCTTCTATGATGCCAGAAACCCCCAAAATGCTGGTACTACGGTACAAATACGCTAACTGAACGCTAGAAACACGTTTAATAAGTTATTTTGTCGTCAGACATATCTCGAATACGCCATATATACTTAGGATGTATACGTTAGACTTTCGTTAGAAGTAGGTTATGCATACGTTATCAATACGTTAGGTGTACAGTTTCACCTTTAGCCAAATTATGTCGACGTATAAGCCTCGGCGTACTACAACGTATACCAGCGTGCTTTTAACGTATATATCTTACACCTAACTTATCCATAGCGTCTTTCAGTGTTGCCGGCGTTTTTGCAAAAGTTCTCATACGTCGCCAGACGTTACCGCTATAGGTTGAAGTGTGACAGGGCCTAAACAAACAAACTTGAAATTTGCTGAAATGTCATCCTGTTATGTAATGTTCAGAACACCAGTGGTTTTACGTCTATTTAACAAAATAATTAGACAGGTTGCTGAAATGTTACTCTGGTGATGAATGATTCTTAGCTAGATGGGAATGTACAGAACACCAGTGCTTTTACCAATTTTTGACAGTATATTTGAAAGTTTACTGAAAGGTTACCCTGGTAATAAAGCATTATTCATATGCTAGGAATGTGCAGAACACCAGTGGTTTTACGTCTATTTTACACATTAATTTGACAGGTTGCTGAAATGTTACTCTGGCGATGAATGATTCTTAGCTAGATGGGAATGTACAGAACACCAGTACTTTTACCAATTTTTGACAGTATATTTGAAAGTTTACTGAAAGGTTACCCTGGTAATAAAGCATTATTCATATGCTAGGAATGTGCAGAACACCAGTGGTTTTACGTCTATTTTACAAAATAATTTGACAGGTTGCTGAAATGTTACTCTGGTGATGAATGATTCTTAGCTAGATGAGAATGTACAGAATACCAGTGCTTTTACCAATTTTTGACAGTATATTTGAAAGTTTACTTAAAGGTTACCCTGGTAATAAAGCATTATTCATATGCTAGGAATGTGCAGAACACCAGTGGTTTTACGTCTATTTTACAAATTAATTTGACAGGTTGCTGAAATGTTACTCTGGCGATGAATGATTCTTAGCTAGATGGGAATGTACAGAACACCAGTACTTTTACCAATTTTTGACAGTATATTTGAAAGTTTACTGAAAGGTTACCCTGGTAATGAAGCATTTTTGACACAGTAGAAATGTACAGAACACCAAATTTATCATTCGTTACCGCTATACGTTGAAGTGTGACAGGGCCTAAACAAACAAACTTGAAATTTGCTGAAATGTTTTCCTGTTATGTTATGTTCAGAACACCAGTGGTTTTACGTCTATTTTACAAATTAATTTGACAGGTTGCTAAAATGTTACTCTGGTGATGAATGATTCTTAGCTAGATTGGAATGTACAGAGCACCAGTGCTTTTACCAATTTTTGACAGTATACGGTATTTGAAAGTTTACTGAAAAGTTACCCTGGTAATGACGCATTCTTTACACAGTAGAAATGTACAGAACACCAATGCTTTTACCAATTTTTTATAGTGTATCTGAAGGTTTACTCTGGCAATGTCTATTTTACAAAATGAATTGACAGGTTGCTGAAA